TGCATGTTACTTATTTTTGTTGTGTCTATGTTTTTGTCTATTATTCGTGGATAAAACTGATATATAGATATGTATAATGTTATCCATCATGTGAATTAGATTCGTGTTCTCGCTTTTGTCTTCTCATGTCTTTCATGATGTTGACACAATCATGGTGTCTGACATAAGATGTCCATATAACTTCATTACTTATGTCACTATTATCTTCGATCGTAGAAACTTGAAAATCAACATTAATATTTACATACTCATTTGATTTAATTTTGATTTTTAAGTGACATGTTGATCAATGATAGTTTTTCCTAATTGAAATGTTAATAGGTTAAATCTTCTACCAATGATGAACCAATTATTATTAAAATACAGATGAGAAAACTTGTAAACCAAAATAACCAACTGATTCGTATCAAATCAATTGGTATGGTACACACTACACAATTTAATAAGTAGTAGCAAGACACGGTTTATAAACGAACCACACACCAAACCGATTCAGTGAGACAAAAACAGAAACGTTCTAATCAAAGGATTGAGCACCAGCCATGAGGGAGTTTAGACGCAGCAGCTTGATCAAGGAACCAAACCACTTCGACATCCGCGGTTAGTCTACCGGCTGGTAAGTCCTTCGTATGGGTAAGAGCAGCCGCAGCCGAATCAGCCTGTTCTTTATCACACACGGCCATAACATTGTAGGAAGCACAATTGATAACCGGTAAAGTAAAAGTGATCCTTTTTGGTGGTGGTTTCGGTGAATCGGTTATGTGTGTGACCCATTTCACTTTCTCATTGATTTGATCATGTCCCGGGAATAGAGACGCCATGTGACCATCCGGTCCCATTCCTAGAAGCTGGAGATCAAATTGTGGGAAACCGGAGGATTTGTATGTTCGGATTATGTTTTGGTTCACCTTTTGTTTAAGGCACTCCTCGTACCGTTCGGCTGCAAGCTCAGCATTGCCTTGAGCCCCGAGCCCGTTGTCGATGGCGTAGATGTTTTCGGCCGGAATCGGAACCTGGATGTTAGAATTATGTATTGTCATGAACGAATGCAACTTTGATACTATTTGTTATAAAATATCAAATGTTTGTTAACGAGAAGTATACCTTTTTCTTCTTACTAAACAAGCATCAAATGTTATAAAAATATCAAATGTTTTTTTTTTTTTTTTGTGCACAAAAAAAAAATCAAATGTTTGTTAACATATGTTTTTTAAAGGTCGTTAATTAAAAGAGTTTGTCAAGCATCTCTCCAAATTTACCTATACATTTCTCTATCGAAAAACATGTTTTTCTTCTTACTAAACAAGAATCAAACTAAGAGATCAACGAGACAATTTTTTTAACCAAGTAGATTTTGGGCTACTACGAGTTAATCAAACTTATATTTTTCTTTTATTTGTGTATAATTTATATATGTACCTTGGAGAGAAAACCGTCGTAGGCGAGTTTATAGTTGCTATCAGTATCATCCCAACCACAAACCCTTTCGTCGACCCAAAAGATGTGCCACTTAGACCATTCAACTGAATCAATATAAGGAGCTTCCAAAAATTTCCTGTTAGATGAATTATAACTAATTTTTGAGATTGGTATTAGAGAGTGAGTGATAAGAGAGTGTATATAAATCCTGAAACAGACCAGAGCCATGAGATGAGGTCGCCGCCAGAGAGAACTACGGTGAAGATTCCTCTTTCTTTGCAGAATTTGGAGGAGAGATCCGCCGTGTATTTGGCCAGCTCCTCTGCCATTTGCTTCTTTGACTGAAACACCCTCCTCTTCACCGGTGCCATCTTAACTAGCTA